GCCAGAAAGCTTCCCCTCTCCTCCCCCGTAGATCCCCTGTGCCAACTCAATAAGCATCGTTGACTCAATATACCATTGGTTTTCATAAACTTCTAATTAATATGACAGTGACGAGAGATGAAATGAAAGTAATGGTATCCAAAAACCTCAAGAATTACTGATAACCTTACCAGTTTGCAACTTTATTCCCTTGATAGGATTACATAATACCCAAATATATCACATTAATTAAACTTATACTAGTACAATAATAATTAATCAACCACAAAAAAAGAATTCCGAATAATCATTTGCCATATAATCATATCCTATGTAAATACTACCAGCTAATCAGTTCTTCACAAACCGATCATCTGAAACAACTTTAGTTTATGACTGACTGTTTGAAAAATGATTATTTGCATAATACTAGTGAAAATGAAATAGCTATGTAAATATATATAATGCACAATATTCTCTTGGTAGGCTTGATCGCTACATTCACTTAATCGAAGTTTTAATTGGCCTCCAACACAGAGAATATTCTATATCCAAATATAGAAGAAATTTGGACATTTATACTTGAGCACTTTTAATTCTTTTTTTAAGAAAATATTTTCTCTTGCATTACCTTTTCTTACCTTCTTATCTTTTCTTCCTTTCAAAGTAATTATTATTATATATATACATATATATATATATATATATATATATATATATATATATATATATATATATATACATACATACATACATACACATATATATATATATATATATATATATATATATATATAATATAGTTATATAATATATAATATTATATATTATATAATATATAATAATAGTTCGTTTTGGAATCTAGGAAACATTGGAATCTAGAATCATTTCATTGAATTAAGGATTAAGGGTTATTGTCCTCTATATTAACCTATCCTAATTGAAAACAAACTAAAAGATTACCTATTTATTCATTAAAAGCAATAGACCAATCCAAAGCAGAAATATATTTAGATGAAAACATGAAAAAATCAAGTGGGTGGAATTTTTTGCCTGTCAGTGTGTGTGTATATATATGTATATATATATATATATATATATATATATATATATTATATATATATATATATATATATATATATATATATATATATATATAATATATAAGGATATTATAATATAATAATATAATATAATATATAATTTCCTTAATATAATATATAATTTCCTTATAATATAATATAAGGATTAAGGGACAATAACCCTTAATCCTTAATTCAATGAAATGATTCTAGATTCCAATGTTTCCTAGATTCCAAAACGAACTATTATTATATATTATATAATATATAATATTATATATTATATAACTATATTATATATATATATATATATATGTGTGTATGTATGTATGTATGTATGTATATATATATATATATATATATATATATAAAATGATAATTACTTTGAAAGGGAAAGAAACTAACTACCTAAATGAAATGGTGTTTAAGTGATTCTTGAAGACCAATTGAGTGCAATGACAGTAACAACAATACTTTTAGAAATGATTTTTAAAATTGTGTTCATATAATATGGTTGTATATCATCTTGAGGGGAGGGGAGACTTCAGCCCGAAAGTTCCCCGTAAACCGCCTGTGCTCCTCGCCATTTCTGTGATGCATGCATGGGATGATTGTTTCAGAGGCACAACCAAACCTATTCTAACCAGAGTGAAAAGTTCGAGTTTCATTCCGTGGTTCCGCAACGAAATAAATTTCAAATCACCCAGGCCGGGTTATTACCTGAGCACAATGGGACGAATAAGTAAAATCTCACGAAATTGATCAAAATTCGAAAATCCCTAATGATTTAAAAAATTAACATAAACATAAAACTAGCATATTCATTGAACCATTTAAGTATATCATAGTCTGTTTTTCATGCAAATGATTTTAACAGTTCAATTTTAATAAATATGTTCAAAAGTTTGGTACTTCAATTTATACGGCACAAAATTACATGTTTTTAAATCTTTTGCCAATCAACTACAATGATATTTATTTTCGCTTTTATATATTTTATAATTAATCTGGAGGTTTTTAAAACAAAAACGAAAGAAATTCGGATAACCAGTCTTATTAAATAATTTATTTTCTAATTTAAAATGTTCATAAATTCTACAATTACAAAAATGTATTGTATTCTTATCGAAAAAAATGCTTTAAAAACTGGGATAAGGTATTATACCAATGTAATTTCAAAAAAATGAAATTACACTTTGGCCTACTTTAGAGTTTATTAACATTTGAATATAATTAATTATGTATATGTTTGTAATAAATATATTAGGCTCTAATTGTAGTTATATATTGTGTTAGTATAACAATTTATAATTATTATTGAAATATGCATACTTAATAAGAAATTTGGCATTTTTTTTTTTTTTTTTATATAAAAACGATATATTTTCTATTAAACTGAAATATTGTGCGGGCGAATACAACAATTTAATTGATTAAAACATTAAAAAAAATAATGACTTAAATATGTTAAAGAACTGGAATTTAAATATATCATACTACATTGTTTTCTAAGTCTATTATCTATAACTCAACTTGCAGCTTTTCTTTATCACATCAGGTATGAAAGGAGTTGACTAAATGTACCTATCTAAGGATAAGATAATCTTGTATTCAATAGAATGTTTTTATTTATGGTTGTAGGGAATTTATGTTTCAAGTTTATCAATCTTTGTTTTTTTATTTAAACCTGGTTGATATTGGTGATGGTTGGAACAGCAGCGATATATTAATATAAAAAATAGTCAACAAACATACTTTACCATTCGATTCAAAAGTGACTTCAAATTACATAGAGTAGGCACCACATTAAAACTATTTTGTAGAAATATCTGAATGAAAACCCCATGTCTAGAGAATCGAGCGTTCCTTCCCAGTGTGTAGCACCGCTAGACTCGAGAATGCTAAAGCGGACATTGCTAAGCTCGGTCATCACTGTCTCAATCATTGACTATAATTGTCAATTTAACAATAATGATAAACTACAGTAATAATAGGTCGAAGTCTATAACATCTGCAAATTCGTTCCTCTACTTACGTTACTTCATACCATTCGTTCCTCGTTGAACCTGGTCAAAACACAAATCCACAAAATCATATGTAAAATAATCTTTCTATAAACCTCTCAAAATCTTTCAGTTCAGCGATGGTTAGCTTTCGTTTTTAATCTATTGCGAAACATTTAAACACACAGATGCTATTAACTCAATTAAATTTACTGAGCCAGTCTGCTGGTGTTCCTCAAGGTAGGATCCTAGGCCCTATCCTCTATACAGTTTATACAACTGACATCCCTACCTATCCCAACACTGTCATCACCACATATGCCGAAGACACATGTATCCTATCAGTAAATAATGACCCAACAATTGCACCCCAAATGCTTCAATCACACATCATAAATCTAGAAGAATGGTGTCAAAACTGGAGAATTAAAATAAACTCCAATAAGTCCCACCAAATTACCTTTACCCTTCGTCGTAAACCAACGACTTCCTGTCCTACAGTTTCCTTTAACAATACTCCACTTATCCCTGTTGAGCAAATCCGATACCTAGGACTCCACCTGGACAAACGACTAACTTGGAATCCTCATACTAGACTGAAACGACAAAAACCGCTCGACGTTTCCGATTACTTCAGCACTTACTAGACAAACGCTCTAAACTCCCAATTAATTACAAAAGTCTCATACACTTGACTATAATAAGGCCTATTTGGACTTACGGAGATGAGCTATGGGGCTCCACTAAACCATCGAATTCCTCTCGTATCCAATCCTTACAATCCAAAATCCTTCGTAAAATCCTCAATGCTCCCTAATTTGTTACAAATAGAACCATCCATAATGACCTTAATGTTCCTTTTGTTTCAGATCTGGCCCAATGCAGATACCTATCCTTCCATAATAAACTTCAGAATCATCCAAACCCTCTCGTTTCTAACCTTGCTTCCTCTTCGATTCCTGATAACCCTCCGAGGCGTCTGAAAAGAAGATGGCCCCGTGATCTCCTAATGTAAACATATCATTAGAGTGCTACCATTGGGTAGTTACTCAGCATTTGTTTTTCATGTCATTATATACATTGTGTTCTAATTTACTAGATGTATTTATTTAATACAGTTGTAAATGTCTTTAAGAAATAAAAAAAAAAAATACTGAGCACCGTATTTTAGCATTGCTAATCCTCCTTAATTCTCCATTGGCCAATTCATTTTTATGAGTCAACTACCATACCAATACTCACTATCGGATCCAGGATTTAATGTTGGGTGGGCTTCAGCCCCAAAGATTTCTTTTGTATGTATATATTATGATAATTACTTCGGAAGAAGTAAGAAACTGACTACTTATGAAATGGTTTAAGTGGTTCATTAAGTCCTATTAAATGTAATTCGACGAACAATAATACTTTTAGAGATAATTTTTTTCATTCAACATGGTTATATTTTACCATTTTGGGGGGAATTCAGCCGGAAAGCCGTTCCCCTCTCCCGTAGATCCGCCTGTGCCGATACTTAATGTTCAAAAACTCAAATGCGTTGCTCTTTCCTTTACGTTAATGGGCAAGTCTTCCGCAACAGCAAAGAATAGGTCTTGGAAATCCTATTTCAGAGTTCTGAACTGAACCAACTTTGTGTTAGTATGGATCTACATAGCTTTCACCTCTATGAAAATGTATATATTTTACATTCAAATGTCTACATCTTCGTGAAGTACAAAATAGTATGCAAAAATGGTTGTCATCAATTCAGAAGTTTTTACTTAAACATTTTGTTCTTTATATTTTAATAATATCATTATAGTAAAGTATAAAATGGTGACAGTAAAATATAATTCGATTCCTTGACCAAATATGGACCATAACACAACCGTAGACAGCTGGCGGGACAAATATCGATGAGTGTGGCCATTGTATAAGAGAGGGGTCGCTAGGCAACCGAGCATCTGTCACCGGGAGCAGAGTAGCCTGGCGGCCGCTGTTGGAACCAGCTTCAGGACCAGCCCGAGGTGAGTTCTCTCTTGTTTACTCTTTAAATATTTAATATCAGGCACCTGTAGTCTCTCTCAGTAATGGACAATATAGATCTATGGCCATACTCAACATGATATGTTAGTCTGAGCCCAAATTATTTGGTCTGTCCTTGTCTGTGAGGTCTTCTGGACCATGGGTCCATCCAGTCAAGTTTGTTCTTTCTGCTTTCTGATCGAATCTGTTGCTTATTTCATTCATATACATACAATATCATCCAGAATAAATTATGAAATAATATCGGACAATTCTTGAATATGCCCTGATCATGTATCAATTATTATTTTATATTAGTAAAACTATATTTTAGCTTAAAATGCCAATCTCAGAAAAATGATTAAAAATTTCATCAAGAAAGTGGTCTATTTTCTTTTATCTATTTCTCATTTCTTCTACATAGTAACCCAAAATAAGAAATGTTTATTTCACAATTTGTCTTATTTATTAAGTTAACATTCAACTAGAATTTATTAAACTAAAAATTCAAATTATTAAAAAAGAATATCAACAAAGTTGTAGTTAAAAGTGATTATTGTTTTACTATTAATATGTTGAGTTTAATAATTGATTGATTATTTATAAAAAACATTTTAAAATATGTTCTTAATGAATTAAATAGTTCCTAAACCTGACATTAGCCAATCCTCCCCTCCCCTTTAATGTCTTTGATACTTCGATTCTGTCCTGTCATAAAAACTGCTGTCGTGAATTATACGAGTAAAATTTTGAATATCCTATTAGCCACAATCACTTTTATCGTCTGTATTTAATATACACATTTTCAATTAATGCTTATTTTTCTGTGTTAATTTTTAAATTTCATATTTTTATATTTTGAAGTGAAATCATTTTTTATTCTTGAACACATTGTTTCTTTAAAATAATATTATAATAATAATTTAAAAAATCCTGTGTTGCTACGATCCATAGTGGGATTTGGATTCTGTACTGTTATCAACTATTGGTGTCCGGTGATTGGGCCAGGATCATCCTCAATCACCAGCTTTCTCAAATAAGGGTGGCTTCTAAATAGCAGCTGGAAGATCCCTAGGAAGATCGTCTCGCCCAAATATCCATCTACGGCAACAGAGACAAGTACAGTGTACAATTCAATCCATCAGTCATTTATAACAGACTATATCATTCCTTCTTAATCCACTTGATCCCATTACAGTATGAAGAGACCACTTACTTATATATAATTAAAATAATGAAACTATCATATTAATAAATCAGAGTGAAGAGTGAAGAAATTTATTAATTGATCAAGATAATCTTTTATAGATTTCTTCCGATTTTCTGCAAACACAACTTAATGACTTAAAAAAGATTGGTGCTGAAAAAAGTTTCCAGAAGGTGTTTTTAATCAAAACACTATTATGGAATACTTCTTTATTAGAAAATGCTCCAAAACCTTCTAAAAGTTAGGTAATTCCTCAATGAAGCATTTAGTATCATTAAATTTTGTTCTGAAAATCTTTAAAATTAATGATTTCACCTCCTGTTCAAATGATATATATATATATATATATCATATATATCATATATATATCTTTATATATATTATATAAATTACATTTTATTAATATATATTATTATATTTATTATAATTTAGTTATGAAATTATTGTTGATTATAAAGGAAATAATTACTTAAGAGAGAAAACCTAAAGTTGAGTGTGATGTCGGGCTAACCACCTTCCTGCACACCCGTTGCCCTTGAAACAGTACATCCTAGCAAAGTACTGAACCCAAAACCCTTCATGGGTTCATAGTGGTACAGGTTTTTTTATGGAAAATGAACAATGAGTTTATAATTTGTGCAATATATATTTTGTTGTTTAAGAATTGAGATATTTAGGTCATTTTTTTTCCATTACCTTATTTATACTTTTCTGTTTATAGACAGAAATTAAAGTAATCTGTAATATTATATTAGTTGCTGCAAAAAATTTCTAGAAAATATAAGCTTTAAGATGAATAATTGACTATTATAAATGTTCTAATATGTATTATTTCAATTCATTTCTTTTACTTCTTTTTTAAGTCATGAAAGTAGTGCAATGAAATATTATGGAATTATATTACTGTTTAGGACACTGATGGATGGTCTAGGCTACATGTGCTCTGGTGGAGGAGCCGGAGGAGAGGTAGCAGGAAGGAGAACTCCCCTTGGAGCTGTGGGCATTGGGTCTCCATATTACTTCCCTCCGTCATCTTCAGCTGTACAATCAGATGAGAACAATCCAGATCATCAACAAAACCACGGCAATAGGTATTTCCTAGTTTGATTTTCAATTTATAATACAAAAATTCAAGTAGGATAATACAATAATAAATGAAGCATAAATATGGTAATATTTAATTTAATAAATCTATAAAGTAAATAAATGACAGCCTGGAAATGGAATGACAGCATTTCCATCTGAGGAATAAATAAAATATCTATCCAGGAGAGCATTAAATAAATGACAGCAAAAATCTACAAAAGGATAACATCATGCAACAAAATTAAAATAAATAAAAAAGCATACATTACCGACTAGTGTAACTCTGGACAGAACATGATTAATATATATATATATATATTTTTTTTTTTATTAAAGAAATTTACAACTGTAATTAATAATAAATACAACAAGTAAATATGAACAAGTAATATGACATGTACAACATGAGAAGAAACTACCCATTGGTAGCACTCCAAATGAATAATATAAAAAATATTTTAAACATTTCCATTTGAGGAATAAATAAAATATCTATCCAGGAGAGCGACTGCACAAAAATTCCACAAACACAAACAAATTTATTTAAATAAGCTTATAACCATGGAAACACAAGGCCTACATATAAAGATGTGTGCACACTAGGGGAATCCGAACGAAGAAATTAATGTGGGCAGGAACTAATATTCACAAATGGTCCAGTGGGTACTAATGCCCATCACACTAAGCAAATTCTTTGTGAACGAATGGCTAATCAGGGATTAGTTTTCTCTAACACCTTCGTTGATATTCGCCCTTTTATTGGTAAACATCAAAGAGTTCGCCTTAGTTCCTAGGTTTTATAAAATTGATTATAAGAATATAAATATTTTGCTGTTACAATTGTGAATGAACTTGAAAGATACTCTGATGTGACAATGAAATTTTATTTTTAATGTTGTAAGGACTTTAAATTTTATGAAGTATATTCTCTTGTCAATTAATTTTTCTTATCTCTTTTATCCATTCTGTCTCAGGCATAGAAAGTAATTAATAAAATATTCTTGATTTTTACAGTATAAATTTCAACGATAAAAAGAAATACTTCCTTTTTTGTTATACCTGGAACAATTTAGATAAGTCGAAAAAAATACTAAAGAAAATAGGATAGATGATTTGGCAAAATAACAATGTTTTATGAACAGAACTAGGTGAAAATCATTATAGTTTCCGTTACATCATATTAATTTTAAGAAATTATTATATATAATTTTTTTGTAACTCTCTAATACCTTCTACAACTTTATTTTTTAAATATTATTTTTTTTCTAAAATTCTCAGCTTTCCAAAGATATATATTATACATATACTAACTCAATATTATTTACAGAAATTCATTTTCGTTTCCAATAAACGTTTTTTTCTTTTTTCTCCTTTAGTCAATTATCAAATTCTTTCAAAGGTTATATTTAGTCTTTTTTTATTAATTTTAACAATGAGAGATAGTTAATTATTAAAAATAAATCAAATTAAAGGTACTTAAGAGGAAGAAATTTTGAACATTGGACATTTAAGCCCTGTTAAGCGATATCAATCAGGATAAGACCTACCTGATATTAAAGATCATTTAATTATATATTGATACACTGAGTTAAATTAAAATATTTAGAGCCTTTTTCGAGAAAATTATAAAAATGTGGAAAATCTACAATTTGAAGTGGCACTTCAGGTTAGCCGATTTTGAGGGAAACGTTGCTGTAACATCCCAGGCACATTCCTATTTTAATTAGGTAATATCAGTTTTGTACGACTTTTTCTTTTTGAGCTAGGTGGTTCACACACATACAGACCATTTTGTGGGACTTGGTTATTTGAACTCAGGGGATCTTAAAACGTGTACTTTCATTGAAAACACATATTCAAATACTTTTCCTTACTATATATTACATGTATAAGTAAGTGAAAATAAAAATATCAGAGCATCTCTGTTTCTTTCCATATTTTTTTTTTTTACAAATGAAATAAACCATTCAAGCATAATGGAAATAGGAACATAAAAAAAACAGAATCATATTAAAACCCAATAATGATATTTTTATCATTCTATATTAACATTATTTTAGTTATTTATTTTATTATGCTGCATTTGCAGCTTATCTCAATTGTTGATATAATAATACTTAATCAATAATGAAATAAAAATGTTAATAACTTGGCCAAGTTAATTTAATTAGATCATCCATCTTTGTGAAGAGATTTGTCGTTGTTGCCAGGCAATATGAAGTGATGAAAGACCATTCGCCTACATGTTGATGAACCTCCTTCATTGGCGAATGTTCACCTACTACGAAAATCCTTTTCATAAAATACAGAAACAATTACTGAATTTCACTATCTCAATGAAGGTTCCTGATGAAGATCAGAAAACTGATTCTGAATCTGATACCTGTTTTCTCCCATCCAATTCCTCAAGTTAATAAATTGCCAACTTTTTATCTTACAAGGACATGGCAGGATCAAGAGAAGAGAGGGCCATAAACAGTACCTCCAAAAAAAAAAAAAAAATTCCAGTCATAAGCCATACATTTAACATATTATTAGGGCTGTTGGTTATTTTTCATTTTATTTTTTTTTAACCTTTTTGGTCATTTCCAAATTATTTAAGTTACAATTTTAAAATCTCAACAGACAAGAACTCAACCGACGATACGGCCAGCTATACAGACTACTAAACAGAAAATCCAAACTTTCTATTGAAAACAAATTACTTATCTACAAGACAATACTGAAACCTATATGGACATACGGACTTGAACTGTGGGGTACAGCAAAAGCTTCTAACATCAAACGTATTCAATCCTTTCAATCTAAAGTCCTTCGAACAATAGTTGATGCTCCGTTCTATGTAAATAACAAAATCCTACACCATGACCTTAATATCCCATTTGTCCTAGACCTTATTCCAGAAAAATTCTCCAAATTTCACCAGAACCTTACCTATCATCCAAATCCCCTTGCACAATCTCTATCCAGCACCACCCATCCTTACAATCCTCCTCGAAGGTTGAAGCGGCAGTGGCCCAGAGACCTTCTGTAAATAAGCATCTATTGGAGTTTTGGCAATGGCCAGATCCTCCACTCAAGCCCGAGTGTGTATGATTAGGTTAGTTCTTTTGTTTATATACATTTATTTTATTTTATTGTATTTATTTTTATTTTATTTATTGTATTTATTATTATTAAGTTTCTGTATTATTTTTTTTTTTTTTTTATTGTAAATAGAGTGTGAGTGTGCTTTCTCTGAACACTATTATAAATGTCCTTGATGTGACAGAATGTAATATTTCTAAATAAACAAATATAAAATCTCAAGATGCCTTAGGGACCCAATGGGGTTGCTTACGGTGTGATCTACCTTTTGTTATAACATTACAATTCTGGTGCCATATTCTCTGTATTATCATAGTTGCATTTAAGACATTTTTATTTTATTTGAGAAAACGTGGTAGACTGAACTTTCTAAGGAATCATCTTAAACATGGTGGTTTTTTCTAAACCATAATTAATCTTTAGTATCTTGTGAATCAATGCTCACTAAAAATCCATTCCTCAACAGACAATAGAAGATGGTTAAAGCCGCCATACTTTAAAAGGGAAGATAACTGTGGAGCAAGATAATTAAATTTTAGTTCTTGAAAAAATAAATGTAAACATCTCAAACAAACAATATTTGAGCCTCAACCAACTGAAAAAACGTTTTGTTTAATTTGAATGAATGAGAATTTATTCAAATTAAACAAAAAAAAGTGGGTGGTTTTTTTTTATAGATTCGAAGTCAAACAACTTTTTAATTTTAATTGTAATGGGGCTGTTCTAGTGCAGTTAAGGTGTTTTATAAATTAATAGCTGAATAATTTTACAGGCTAGCAGTAGGCCAAGCAAGTGGTGTAAGTGGTCCAGGAGGGAAAGCAAAATCCAGGCAGGGTAAGCTTGTGAGGTTGAACATCAACGCAAGGGAGAGGCGACGTATGCATGATTTGAATGATGCTTTGGATGAACTTCGATCAGTCATTCCGTACGCCCATTCTCCAAGTGTGAGGAAGTTATCAAAAATAGCAACACTACTCTTGGCGAAAAACTACATCCTGATGCAGGCAAATGCTCTTGATGAACTTAGGCGTCTTATAACTTACCTGCAGGTAAGATATGGTGGTTTATATTTTAAAAAATTATGATAAATAATAAATTTTGAAATAAGTTTTATATCTTATATATGTTCCAATAATTATTCGTTATAATACAGTGATTGAAAATATAGTCAAACTTCTAGTAACAGACACCTACACCCAATTTTAAAATATCCAAGTATTAAATTATGTGTATTTAGACCACTTTACAACAGGCACCCTTCAAATACAGCTATATTTTTGTCGTTGAGAGATTATCACCCTGAACAAATGCAAAATGTTGAAAATAAAGAAAACAATATTACACGGTTTTATGTTTTAATATAAATACTCACATAAATTTATTAACCTATCAAAAACTAAGGAGGATATCAAAACCTAAATCCTCAACAAATCATATAAATTATTCTTTTTTATTTTTATATGTAGGATTTATGGTCTAATAGGAGTTTTATTCTGTAGACTGACAAAGAAACTTACTTTTTCATTGGAGTATGTATTTTTCCATCAGTTGTTTAAATTTGTTTGCTCACAACAGTTTCAATAGAAATCCTCTCATTACTCCTTATCATCTTTTAATTTAAAAACCACTTTGTCCCAGTCATTTTTGTTCTCTTAACTCAGAACACTAAGAATGGAACCCGATAGGTTTCTTAAAGTTGTGTAAATTATAAAAGGAAATAAGAAAAAGATCATAGATTTTATTAATATTTATTTAGAAATGTTAGGAAATTTAAAAACAAGATTAGTTAAACAATATATATAATCTTCAGTGACAATATATAAACAACAGAAAGTAAAAACATTTTGAAAAAAAACAAAAACATAATTGAAATGAAAAGAACAACAGAAATCCAGAATAATAAAAAACAATATTATGTCATTATTACAGTTATAAATAATCTTGCAAACATTGTAGCATATACCAATCTTTTTAGACCTCTATATTTGTTTTCCTCAGACCATCGTTCAACTAAAAAAAAATTCCATTTGTCAGTGCTCACTTTTAAATTATGGTGTTTTAAGCTTGGCACAAAAAAGTTTTTAGAATTATCTTCTGTTTTAAGATTTTTTTTATTATTTTATTTTTTCACTTAACAAAGGAAAAGAATACAGTTATTGTTTATAAAAAAAATTCCTTTTCCTTGGGATTTTTCTTAGTATACACATTTTTATTTCCTCTATTATTAAAAAATTTTTACGTTGTCATCTTGCCAACTTTTTTTTTTGTTTGTGTAAAGTTTTGAAGGTAGTTCTGAGTTGCGAACAATGCATACATTTTATAGAAATCTTTGAGAGCAGAGTTATATTAAAAATTTTAGAGTAATTTTAATATTTTTTTTCCCACGCCTTTTAGGCTGTAGGTGGTCTTTCCCAGGCCAGAGGAGCCTTCAAGCCCTCCCTGCCTCCCAAATTAGCATAATCTACTGTATAACAATAACCAAAGTAAACTAGTGCCAGTCTATAGTGAATTTTGAGCTTTATTTATTTAAAACTATCTTGTTTTGTTATCTTCACTCAAGATATTATCAAATATAATCAAATCTTTTAAAAAAATTATTTTATTTTATCTAATTTCATCAGTATTTTTTGATAATTTTAAGAGAGTTTTCAAAAACGAAAGCAAGTATAAACAGAATAATGATCATTGGAATTGATTAGCAGTTGATGAAAACATATATTTCTTTTAACATACCATAATTTATTTAATTACTGCCATGACAGCAATAGAATTTTAATTGCTAATCTGTTAAACAGGCTCAGGGACCCATGGCGATCCCACCAGGATTCGACCTTCACGCAGCTATGTTCCCTAAGCCCCCAGGATCACCTCACCAGTCGCAGCCGGAGTCTGACCAGTCCTGAGATTTCTAGTCAATTGAATTCTTGTTTCCAAGAATAATTATGTTGCCTATTGTATTGGTATTGTAATTCTAAAGCTAGTCACAAAACTAGTCAATGATAACTGCACAGATTTTTTTTCTGGATTTATTTATTTTCTTTTTTTTTCTTTTCTTATACACACTTGAATGATATATTCTGTGAATAGCTTAAATAATTCTTGTTTGGTTCAGCTATTGTGAATATAGCTGTGAGTTTAAAAAAATGACAATGTTTTACATAATAACTCGATATTTAGACCTAAAATATTGTGGTGTAAGATAAAATTTAAGTAATGAATACGTCACATTGGATTTTCATTGGTAATTTATATTTTTCATATAGTTTCACCAATAAGATCATAATCAATGAATACAATTTTTTTTTAATCGTTTTATTTAATCTTTAATTATTCATCCTAATAATTGGTATCAACAAAATTGAAAAAGTATGGAAAGAACCCATGGGTTGTAAATTACACCAGATAAGTTCAAGTTTTAAATAAAACCTATTTTTAAGTTATAAGTTAAAAATACTTTGATCTATTGAAAAGTACCAGAGATAACAATAATTATGCATTGTAATTATTTAAAAAGTTATGAATTTATAAAATTTGATAATTGCAAACTCTTTCGTTGTATGCAACCCTCCCTCCGCCCTCTCTCCAACAAGATAAATAGTCTCCACCAAGATTTGGCCCAAGCCTCTCAAATTCTTGTTATGCTATTGATGCGTACAACTATAAAATAAACCTATATTATAACATAAATTTAAATAACACCCATTGAAAACTTCATTATAAGTCCAAAAAACACTAAACAGATTATAAAAATTTCACTTGTTATTGAATAAATAGTTTACTATTGAATTTGTAATTGTTGGTGAACTGTTCTATTCTTTTTCAAGTTTGTAAACTACTCCATATTTTTTTAAAAGATATGGTCAGTGATAACAATAGGTTAGGAAGACCTGATTGGACCGTACTTTGAGTAAGTTCCATTGAAGCATACTTTACTTTTCTATCCAATTAGAGGTTTTATTGGTTGATTTTTGACTATATTAACTCTCCTAGTTTCTACATTCCTTTCCTTTTCAAATGAACATGAAAAAGAATTTAAAGATAATATTTCACTGTAGTGTCCGCAACAGCAGGTGGATAACGCTGGCCTAGACAATCATTATGAATAATGATAAAATAGCACATGATAACACTGAGTGTGGGCTGATGATAACAATAACAGATAACAATGAAGGAGCTGGGGTAGCCATGCGGGCTAAGGCGCTTGCAATAGGTAATCAAAGTTAAGCAACACCGAGCGTGGTTAGCACTTGGATGGGTGAGCTTTGAGCTCCACCGCCCCACACCAAGGAAAGCCATGCTTCCCGAGATTCCTCCCTCTCCCACAAGTATGTGAGGTCTGTCAGCCTACTGGAGGCAACTCACACCGACCAGGTTTAGGATTGTTGACCCTACCCCCTACTTTAAATTGGGAATCGGAGTGTTCTAGGAGACCACATCCCGCGGTCAAAGATCTTCATGGTCTGTAGCCCGAAAAAAACAATACACTGAATCTACTGTTAGTATTTGATTCAGGATGAGCAAGCCCACTTTTTTGAGCTATGCCATCTGATAATGTAAACATTTATAATGATCCAAATATTTTTTTCTTAAATGATACATAAATTTCACTTCAATAAGTTCAAAATTATAATTAGTGGCAAAAGATTCTATCAGATCAATTTAAAAATATTAATTTTGATTATATGAAACTTCCAAAGCTATATGATAAATGCACCAGTAACTGACATGCTCAAGGAAATTTCATTGAACTTATAGGTGTAAAAACTTAAATATTCTATATTCTATATTATTGCCTTTTTCTGGAATTCATCTTATATAACTACTTCTGACCTCACCAAGACACACTTAAAATCCATGAAAAATCCACCTAAATTTTAAAAAATTGCAAATTTAGAGAATATTTTTGTTGCACCAGTAGCTGACACTGTTTGATTTGGAATTTTCCTGTAGCTGACAGAGATAAGAACAAGAATGTAATTATGCGAAATAAAGAGTTGACATCTTAAAATCTTTATCTTAAAATAGATATTAACAAAAATATATTACAAAACTACCTGTGTTTTTCGACTTGAATTTATTCATAAATGCTGGGCCAGATACTGTCTAGAAGCTGTTTTTAGCAACTCCTATTTTTGCTTTGTATTTGATCATCATTAACAATTTTTTAATTTGTAATGGATGGTTCCATTTTTAAGACCTTTTATATTAATAATATCACCGAATTTATGCAATAGTACTGGCTTGTCAGCTACTGTCAAAAGGCTTAATATAAGGCTCCAGTTGCTAGTACATTAAATTTCCAATTCCTTTCACAAAATATGATAAAAACCAATAAAACCTGATCTAAAAACACTCTAAGAAAAGATAAAATAAAAATTTTGAGATCAATCCAAGTAGTCAAAGAGAAAAAGGCAAATCTAAGCAATGGTGTCCTTATTGATAAATGGTTATTCCTGGAACATTATGTGGACCGTGAGGGATCCTCCAATTTTTCCACCAATTATTTCGGTTACAGTTTCCATTACCATTGGAAGTAAAGCAAACAAATATAGAAGGAGAAAATGTAGATACAAAAAATCTATGATATTGAGGTCTAGGAGGTCCTAAAATCTTATTATTCCCATTTTTCAAAGAGGGTGTCAGGTATTGGTACTCTGTCAACTATTGGTGCTTTTATCCTAAAGATATAAATGCAGCATGAATTTTTATCATGCCTTTAATATATTCATGTAATAAATGAACATATAAGTCTTGATTATATTTATTTAATAGTACCTACAAGTCATACAGAAAATAGGTTTACTTAATAGGAGATGAGGATCTTTTCGTTCATATGTGCATATAAAACTTACAAACATTGATGATGAATGTACGTTTCAATGAAAATCTAATATACACGTATTAGTTTTATTTCAAAGTGCACTCATAATTTTATTTATTATCTCAATGTCGACAGAGCCTAGGCGTTCAGCAATACAACTGTGATAGCACCTGCCATACCCAATACTTGTAATTCTTTGTCTTATATTATTTAGTTTTCATCTAGTCTTAGTTAGTAAGTAAAAACGATTTTTTGTTATATACTTTAAAGAATTTCTATTATTATGATTGGGAAATTATTATAAATAAATATATATAAAATGATAATGATAACTTGATATAATAAAGATAAGTGTGTGATAATTATAGTATTAGATAAAGAAATGTAGTATATTATTTTTAAGAGGAGATCATAGCATTTATACAAATTGCTTGATTATATAATTTCAGTATTATTGATGGTATTTAAGTTAGGTAATGTTTGTATCAATATTTTTCATTTTATGTTTATTTCCTCTTTAATAGCAATAATATAATAGATTTAAATTGAAAATAAATTTTGTTTCAGATTGCTATGAAAAATACAATTTATTTCCTAGTACTTTGTTGAGCTCAACATAACACAACACTTTTGAATTTTAATTAATGAAAACCTAGGTTTGGATTAAAATCAAATTTTAATTACTCACTAAGCTACTCCATTCCAATCCCCTTATAGTTCTACTTATACAAAACTATATATATAAAATATATATAAAAAAAAAAATATATATATATATATATATATATATATATATATATATATATATATATGTATAAGAATAATATGGAGAGACTATAAAACATTAGTGAAAATCAATGAAGATTCTAAAGGAAAGTTAAGAATCAATATTAGTTCAATATCAAAATCTGATTGCTTGGTCTGGAATTAGACTACATAATGGCAGATAATTATTTTATTTATTGATTACACTATATGAATAGATCATGACATTCAGTTTTATATTGTTTCAATATATTATAATAACTACACATGCCTAATAATGAAAAAATAGCTACATAGAAGTGCTTTAAAATATATATTTTTAACATTGTAAATTCAGATAAATCTTTTAGGAAACCTAAGAGCTTCATCCTGTTACTACTCCGTCATTCTTGACATCAAGGTGGCCACTGAATAGGTGAATTGCAACATCTTAAAAAAAACAAGATGAAAATGTTAGACATTTATAACTAATGACTGATACAAAATAATGGAATATGTCTGTAAATTTCAAAATGTAATTTAATTTTGTGTGTTTAAGTATGTACAAATGAGGAAGCTCTAAATCTTTTCAAGATCTCCATGAAAACTGTGGAGTTACCAACTTCTTTATAGTGTGCAGAAGTCCTGGAAGTTAATCACAATAGATGTGAATTATGAGGACCATTTTTCGACTTATCAAGTTATTCTCTGTGATTATATAGATACTCTTGATTTAGACTGAAAACTGATTTTTTACAGAAAATTTCCCAATTTTGTTTAAAATGGATTTTTTATTATCTGCATTACTGTGGAAAATTCAGTTCGAAAATAAACTGTTCCATGTTTCTTCTCTTGCAGTTGCGGATTCTGGATTTGATTTTTGTGTGATTTTTTTTTTTTTTAACAGTAATTAATGTGAAATGAAAAGTAAAGAAACTATATAAGATGATGTGTAACTGGTCCTGGTCCTCTTTAAAAATATGGTGATAATAATATTGTTTTAGGGATGATTTTTTTATAATTTTCATTCGACAGGTGCCTACATTTAATAGCTATGTATGTGTGCTATAATTTAAAATGAGTTCATACTGTGATTGTTTAAGCATTGAGCTCAGATTGCTCATAGAAACAAATATGGGCCAATGAAAAAAATATATATATTTGTCAGCCCGAAATATTCTCCAGAGACTCAGTCAAACATTAAATTCACCCCTAATGTGTACGAAACTTAAATTGCGTATTTAAGGTTTGTGTATGGTTCCGATGTGAAGCAAATTTTTTGTTGAAATCGGCTAACCCAAAGTGCCACTTTATATCAACGGTGATGCACATTTTTATGATTTTCCCTAAAACGGCTCTAATGATTTTGATTACACTTGGTATATCGGTGTATTATTAATTTTGTTTTAAAATCAGCTAGGTCTTATCCACATTGATGTCACTTTAAAGGGCTTAAATGCCCAATGTTCAAATATGTTTTCCTCTAAGGTATCTATAATTTGTCTTAATTTGAAAAAAATTGCTCTCTTATTGACAGTAACTATAAAAAGTGGCTAAATATAACTTTTGATAATTAAATGGAGGAGAAAAAAAAATGCTTATCCAGTTTGAAAATGAATCTCAGGAAATAATTAGTATTAATAATAAGTACAATGTATTGTTGGAGAGATAATTTTAGAAAAAATAATATCTAATAAATAAAGTTGAAGAAGGTAACGAAGAGTGACGTAAAAAATGTAAATAATAATTTCTGAAAATTAACATTATTTAACGTGAATCACATGTTTCCAAGGAAATTAAATGGATTTTTCTTACTAAATGTAAAATTTTGACATTTTTTTTTAAAATTTGTAAAAAGTATTTAAATTTACTGAATCAAGGCAATAACATTGTTTAAAGTACTATTTCATTTTATTTCTGTGCAAGAAATAGTGAAACAAAAAAGTATTTCATGGATATGTAATCTTAAATACATTTACTGTATTTTAATAACTCTAGATCTGGTATTATATTTAAATAATTAGGTATCTCTCATCCGTTTATTCCGAAAAGGCACCATGTAATCTTTTAGAAAATTAAATTAGTGAATAATTTGATGAATTTTTCCTTTGTGATATCACAACAGTATCTACTTACAATTAGTATGACAACTTTTGACCTATCTATGATAGGCAATACAAATATGATGATTCCATTTTAGTAAACTTTGCAATGAAAAATAATAGTTTAATAACTAATAGTCGTACAATCCGTAATCAACCATTCATATAATAAATATCATTGTTATTGTTTTAATGTTATTAATGATTTGTTAGCTGTAAGCTTAATCCTTTAGCTCGGTTAAAAATTCACTTCAAAAATTTTATAATAGACCAACATTGCTAGAAAATAATTTCTATTTAGGTAGAGCAGTAAGTGAATGTTGTGTGTTGTACCCACCAGATTTTTTTAGTAAGTAATTTACAATGTGAAATGTTTAATTGTTTCAAAACATAAAGGAAGAAATTTTGAAAATCGGGCATTTAAGTCCTGTAAAGGAACATCAATGAGAACAAGACCTGCATTATATTAAAAACCGCTTAATTTTACACTTTAATTGAATTTAATTTAATCAAAATTGTTGGAACCGTTTTTGAGAAAATTGAAAAAAAAATGTGTCAAATCGATATTAATAAGTGGCACTTCCGGTTAGCCGATTTTCCGAAAAAATGTTCTGTAACATTCCATATACAACCTACCTTAAATACATAAATGAAAAAATCTGGTCGTCCGCGTCGGGCCTTGGTAAAAAAATAATTATCTCGAATTAATTAAAACGAATCTTTAAAAAAATTTCAATGATTTATATTTTTTATATGTATGACTATCATTTCATCGTAAAATTAAGATATTTATTTGGTTTAATACAGTTAGTTTTTATCTTCAGAATGTCGCGAATTTATGATCATTTCATTTGCTGAATTCGATAACTATAATTCCACGGTAATTTAAAAAAAAAATTTTTTGAAAGACTTTTCCACTACTGTGTTTGTCCTTGACCTAAATATTCTTTAAGATATTTTTCCATTCTTCTCTATCCAAGGCTTGTTTTTCTATGATGCCATGAACCGCCAGGCTTTCTTCTACCGCGTCTTTCCATTTTATCCCATTTTGATTTTTATCCCCTTTTGATCTTTCCATTTTGATTTTCAAATAAATAGTATCTATTCAATTTCAAATAAACATTTTAAGAGCGGATAAAGGTGTTAAGTAACAATTTTTTGAAAATTGATTTTTTTCCAACGAATCACAAAGCATATTTATCATTTCCTTGTAACACTAACAATCCAAGATTCTAGGTAAGCCGATTGATATATAAATGGATTGGACAGATCGTGTTTGAAAAAATTAATTTGTCATTCACTCATATCTTTACTTTCTTCAATGTATCAGTTCTCTATCATTTCAAGCTAATACAATAGAAACAACATTAATTTTAAAAAATAATATCTTATCGTTTTAAATTTTAAGATTTAAGATAAATGTAGGTCAAGAAATTCATAGATATGACAAATTATTGATCTTTTCAATCAGTCCTCGGTTTGGGGTCATTTTATACGATTGAATCTACAATATATACGAAGAAATATTGAGGGAACACCTGCTCTAGTATCGAAATTTTCGAATTGTCTCACTCTACTAAGTTTCATTTCTGTATTAAAAAAATTAAATCAAATAAATATAATTTTGATTTATTATTTTCAATAATGAACCATTGTGATCGACAAAAAAATTCAAAAACTTAATCCCCTCTCAAAATTTGAGGTTTCACGTTTCAGGATGTATAATTCGAAAAACAAATAAACATTTGTTTTTTTATTTATTTGATTTTGGTTTTTTTATTTGATTTTTTAACATTTATTTGATTTTTTTTTTTTTTTGTTCTGTCCGCCGTCCGCGCATTTTCTCGGAAACTACTGGACCGATGTTTTTCAAATTTGGATATAAAATCAGACCTTGCCCGAGGATGATCCTCCTTCATCGGCATTACTATCCGCCGTTTACTTTCAAAATGGCGGCCAAAAAACCTGCGTTGCTATAGACTGTAGCGCCTAAACGAATGTACCGATTTCAATGAAACTTCGCTAAAGTAATTTTCTTGACGCCCTTTAAATTTATTTATATAACATACTTCAACGAAATGAAGCTGGAAAAAAAAGTTACTTGGGAAGGTAAACTTTAATTCCGAATAACTCAAAAAGTATACTTTTTTGTCGGTATTGTATATGTTTTTTTAAAAGTTTACGGAATTTCCTAAAAAAAAAAAAAATCGTTAAAATCGGACAATTAGGAGCAAAGATATGGTTTCCAGTTTTTTTTTTATGGCGGCCAAAAAACCTGCGTTGCTATAGACTGTAGCGCCTAAACGAATGTACCGATTTCAATGAAACTTCGCTAAAGTAATTTTCTCTACGCCCTTTAAATTTATCTATATAACATACTTCAACGAAAAGAAGCTGGAAAAAAAGTTACGAAGGCTGGTAAATTAAATTCCGAATAACTCAAAAAGTATACACTTTTTTGTGAAAAGATGTTTCAAAGGTATTTAAATTTCCTAAAAAAATTATATAAAAATCAAAGGATTATTATTAGAGATATCGCGATTTTAAAATTATTTTTTAAAAGTTTACGGAATTCCTTAGAAAAAAAAAAATCGTCAAAATCGGACAATTAGGAGCAAAGATATGGTCTCTAGTTTTTTATATGTGCTGCTGCATTGATTCCTTTGTTTTGGTTTTTGAATTTTGAATGTGTTACTGAAGTAATGCTAATTTTTGTAGCATATTACTAATTATTAAAAAAAGAAGTTTAGTCCAATAATTGGAAACACCTTTTATTCATTTTTCTTTGTAACTAGAAAGGTAATGTTACTTTAGATGTATAATTGTAGAGAAATAATAAACAACTGTGAAATAATTTGCAGCATTTTATTTTTATTTCCCTTAAAAATTTTGTCACTGTTCTGCTATGAACGACTACAATTTTTGACTTTTGATCCTGACGAAGTTATCTATTCGGGATCTCTACTTTACGTGAGCTAGACTTTTGTTTTATGGTCCTATAATCGCACTATTGAAATGAAACTATTGTAAGAGAAGTTTAATGAGAATTATAGTCATTAGAAGTAAACAAATAAATAATTATTTCCTTTATGTACTTTTTTTTATTTTATTTAATTAAATGACTACAGTCCCCAACCAACTTAATAGAAATCGACAATCAACCATTGACAATCATTCAACTATTGATTATGAAAAACAAGCTTACAGAAAACATTTAAACTTACAGCCATGATGGTCTCCACATTGACAGGGTATATCCGCACAGCAGTGAGTGTCACACCTTTCCTTGCGCCAACCATCACCATCTGGACAGCCCTTCTAAACTGGATATCCTCCTTGTACCAGTCGCTGCTGTAGATAGCGAACTGGAGGTCTGAGCTCTATCTGTGGAACAATACTTAAAGACAGCCATTGTGAAATAGCACAATGAGAAATATGAATCGTTATTAAATCCAACTAATAATTACTAACAAGTTTAATTTACAAGATGAGTATTCTCATCGATCCGAATCGCACTTCATTGGGAAAAAACACCGCTCCAGTTGGACATAACTCAGAAAAAGTCCTTTCCGAATATACTTTCAATTAGAGAGTGGAACTAAAGACATGAAATAGAAGGTCCTTCATTTACTATTACTTATTATACTATATTATAACTATATCACTAATGCACGGGCGGATCTACGGGGGGGGGGCTTTCGGGCTGAAGCCCCCCCCCCCAAAATGGTAAAATATAACCATGTTTTATCGGAAAAAATATAAAAAAATTATCTCTTAAAGTACAATTATTCGTGTAATTACATTTAAAAGGGCTTTAGGAATCACTTAAACATCAGTTCTTATAGGCAATTAGTTTATTTATTATTTTCCAAAGTAATTATCGTTACTTTTATGAAAAAAAAAGCTTTCGGGCTGAAGCCCCCCCCCCCAAAAATTAAATCCTGGATCCGCTAGTGCACTAATGGTATACTACTTAAACTTGTACCTTTATTTGTGAACAAAAAACAATAAAAAAAAAAAGATCCCTAGCGATTTTATACATAAATATCCTGGGAGATCCATCTCATAGTATATGATATTGAAGTTTGGGATTATGATGAGGAATGTATTTTTACCATCAGGTAGAATGTGAATAAACAAGAAAATACAAGAATAACACGGGAGCAATGCAAATACAGCAAAAACTAACTAATAAGTTTTCATCTCTTTCATATCTAAAAGATAAGTTAGTTAGCTCTGTCTCTTTCTAGTGAACGGCATGAAGATTTTCTACTCACTTTTCTCACTATTGCATGTACTGTAGTGCATAAATGAAGTTACATAATGAAACTCTTTTTTCTTTTCCAATTTTGTGCTATTATAGACACTCAGTCCTAGTTCAATCAGCAACGTCCACCTATTCTGTGAAAACTGTTCCACGTTTTATTCTGTAACATTTTGTGTACACCAATGTGCGACTAAAAGATTTGCTTATTCGCGTCTCGTAACATGTTAAATTAGCAAACATATAAAATTTAATCGACCGTTTAAAGGGAGCGATACAAATTATGTTTAAGTTTCCAAACTCTTGTTTTGAGAGTAAGAATTCATTAAGGTAGTAAAAAAAACATATTTTAAACAACTAATTTAAGATGAAAATGCACTTAAATGAATTTAAAAATTGATTGCAAAATTGTTGAGATTGTTTTGAGAGAAAAATTAGCCACTTCAAGACAGCTTTTTTGGTCACACTTAATAAGAAATCATACTATTGCTTCAGTTGCCTTCCAAAATCACCTCCACAACTTAGAAAAATGGTTCAACAAATTTGAAATCAAAGTTAATGGCTACAAGTCAAATCATGTTCACTTCTCCCTGAGGAAGATTTAATTTCCTGCTGTGTCAATAGACAAGCCAGTTACCTCAAAAACTCATGTAAGACATCTCGGACTATACTTGGATAAAAACTCACCTGGAACATACAAACCAAAGTAAAAAAAATAGAACTGACCAGACGATACAAACAACTGTCATATCTTTTGGACTATAGATCTCCTCTCAACTTACAAAATAAGCGACTAATCTACATCACCATACCAGAGATAGACAAATAAAACTTTGAGTACCGAGTACCAAGTATTTTACTCAAATTGAATTACTTTTGGAAATTCAATCACTACTCCAGTTAATCGTTTGACATCAACTGAAGTAATAATTAAATTCTTTGGTACTCAAAAAAGATCAGTATTTAAGTAAAATACTAGTTCCATAGTACTCAGAGTAGCATTTGCCCATGTTTGCACCATACTACGTCTTATTTGGACATACCGAGCAGTGTTAGGGGTTCCACAAAAAACGTCCACATAAACAATTAGAAATGCACAGTCCAAAATACTTCGAAACATCGTAAATGCACCCTGGTATATTTCAAATTACACGATACACAGTAAAAACCTACAAATATAACAAATACACCACATTCCACATTTCAACTATTAATCACCCAGATCCAGTTGTCCTCTCTCTTTCTTCGTCCCTGTTATCAGGGGAGCCTCAAAGAAAATTAAATAAGGCAGTGGCCTCGGGATCTGCTCACAATGTGAAAATATTTTCAAGAAATAGCAGACAAAACGAACGACAGTACATTTGCTAGATGCGTTCAAACGCAATTGCAAATATAATATATATATATATATATATATATATATATATATATATATATATATATATATATATATATATATATATATATATATATATATAAAATATATATATATATATATATATATATATATATAAATATATATATATATATATATATATATATATATATATATATATATATATATATATATATATATATATAAAATAAATAGACTGTCAGTGATAGGGCGCTGAAAAGGTTAAACAGTAAACCTAAGATCAGGTTTACAATATAAGGAATAACAAATAAAAGAACACATTGATCTCATCTCGTACGAAATGTTTGTCAACGAACTCGAGTTATTGCCTCATAAAATTTAAAAAAATAAATGATGAAAGAAACGCTAGTCACATAAACATTTCGAAAAATGTAACAAAGATTAAAAAAAAAATAACAAGTCTTTTATTAATAAAAATACTCACTATGTTCTAGTCGAAGTGCTTACGCCAATGAGTTTTATAAAAAAAGTTTTTATATTTATACCACTTAAAAAAATATGTAAGAATCCTGTCACCCATCAATTTTTTGTTTATTATTTTCAATAATCAACCATTGTGATCGACCAAAAAATTCAAAAACTTAATCCCCTCTCAAAATTTGAGGTTTCACGTTTCAGGATGCGTATAATTTGAAAAACGATTTTTTTGTCCATCCGCCGTCCGCCTTCCGCGCATTTTCTCCGAAACTACTAGACCGATTTTTTTCAAATTTGGATATAAAATCAGATGTCACACGAGGATGGTCCTCCTTCATCGACATTACTATCCGTCTTTTACTTTCAAAATGGCGGCCGAAAAACCTGCGTTGCTATAGACTATAGCTTCTAAACGAATTTACTGATTTCAATGAAATTTCGCTAAAGTCATTTTCTTGACGCCCTTTAAATTTATTTATGTAACATACTTCAACGAAAAGAAGCTGGAAAAAAAGTTACGAGGGATGGTAAAATTTAATTCCGAATAACTCATAAAGTATACTTTTTTGTCGATATTGTGTATGTTTTTTAAAAGTTTACGGAATTTCCTAAAAACAAAAAAAAATCGTTAAAATTGGACAAATAGGAGCAAAGATATGGTCTCCAGTTTTTTTTTTTATATGTTCTACTCCAAATGTTGTATCCTTTGTTTGGTTTTTAAATTTTGAATGTGTTACTGAAATAATGATATTTTTTTAGCAAATTACTAATGATTAGAAAAAAAAGTTTATTCCAATAATTGGAATGACCTTTTATTTATTTTTCTTTGTAACTTGGAAGGTAATGTTACTTTAGATGTATAGTTATTTGGAAATAATAAACCATTGTGAAGTAATTTGCAGCGTTCTTTCTTTAATGCAGAGTGGATATAGAATTTCAAACATTAATCATTTGATTGGAAAAAGTTTATACATTTGCAACAGGATTAAATGTATTATGTTCTGTAAACAATTATGCATTCGTTTCTTCAGGTAACTACACGACAAAGGAAGAGCGGTAAGTGAAAGTATTCTGAATTTACTTGTAATGCCGGATTCGAATATTAAGATAATACCGTAAAACAAAAAATAAATCAATGATCTCTGTCTAACAAAATGATGTGTCATTACAGCAATGTTAAATTATTACGAATACCATGTCTTTAAGACTTTTGTCCCTCTAAATTCCATATCTCCCGCCACACATGAATCGGTTCCAAACAATTTCAAACACTTTAAGCGGGTGATCTGAAAATTGTCTAGTCACATTAAAAATCTCTATTTATTTTCTAAACTTTATCATACAGCTCTTCATGGATAATCATATCAGTTGATTGTTAATTATTTTATTACATAAGATGCTATGCTAATACCAGATAAAGATCTAAAATTATCGTTTAGACTGAAGGGAGATATTGTAAGATTTATTGATATGAGATACTTTCTGTCAAGTCTCTTTTTTGTTTTTAATATTGTCTGATAGATTGATCAGTATGCTTTGTGAATTAGCAAGTCAACACAGTTGAGCAGTCACTCACAATTTTTTTCAAGATATTTCTTCTGGACTGAATGGCTTTTTCCACACACATTTCGGATTTTATTCATTTAACCAAGTACATTTAACTCAGCCGTAAAATCCTAATTCAACGTGGGTAAAAACGTAGAGAACCTATACTTATTTAACAAACCAGAGATATCCGCTTTTGATGCAAAAGAACATTTTTTACAAGGCATCTTTTATCTTTCTGTCTTCCAAAAATATGCGATTAATTTTTAAACCATCTCCTCAATTAATTTTTTTTTTTTCAAAAATGTCTTTATTTTATTTTTCATAACTTCCAAAACTAACAACATCACCTAGCAACGTCTTATGATCAACATCCTATGAAACTTGGGCCAACTCATGAGCTTTCCTGGTCCATTGTGTTTTTATATAAAACTTTGAATACTGTTTTAAAAAACATTCTTAGCGTATTAGTATTAATTTCTAAAATTCTCGGCAAGGTGTTTGCTAGAATTCTGAAATCCATTACGATTTACGCTAAGTAAAATATGTTATATATCTGAGAATAATACTAGTAGCTTTAAAAAAAACTAAGAAATAACGATTATTTTTAGTTATCTCCAAGTATTCATCAATTAATAAAATATATAAAAATTACTTCATCTCCTGCACTTACGGCCGTTTCAAGGGACGATGACCCAAAGCAGAACATTGAGACTTCAATACCTTGGTACGCCAGGAGTAACATAAATTTGAATATGAACATCGGTTTAGTCGCTTTTCCCTAGAAGCAATAAATAGACTTTTTCACTCAGTTATGAACTACATGCCTACATAAATTTAAAAAATCACTTACAAACAGAAATTGGAAAACGCCAATAATCAAGACGAAAACACCCATTCCTAAAATAATTGTTACCAACGGATTGTATACACTCCGAAGTTCGTTGGCGTAACTAAAAAATAAATATTCTTTAGTTTTGATCATTTTTTAAATTTATGATCCAATAAATTATAACTCTTGTCATACCTCAACAATCTCTGATGATCTCTAACAAAGCTATAAATTTGTTCTTTATTCAATGAGGAATATATATCTCGGTTATAGGTATTTTTTCTGTTACCATCGATCGAAGGAAAGATTTTTATTGCCGATACTTGGAGATTGAGAACAGTAAACTGAGCATGGAGGCAGATGAGGACTTGATAGAACAGGCTGACGTAGAGAGCCAACAAGACCCCAGACCAGATCATCAATAACGACTCATAGACAAATATTGCTTCGTAGTAGGGCCAGCTAGCCATGGGAAGCGGGTACCATCCCCCCATTATCTTCTGCCTACCTCCGACGACCGCCGTCATGCTTCCAGTTCCATGGAGAAGGTAGTCCACGGATATACCGGGGTCGGCTATCGAGAAGGCAGTGATGCTCAGATCTACTAGGAAAGCTGAATAGCACAGCAGATTGGCTTTGGTCGTTATTTTCCTAAAAATCTTTGCCGCTTCTTCTCTCTTGTCTTCGGCCACATGAATAAAATCTTTCTTGGCCAAACTGTACAGTCTGGACTGGCTATCCAATCGGAACCAAAAAATCAAAATCTTACAGCACATCTGTAGAGCGGGTAAAGTGTGCAAGTTCAAAAAGGTAGCCTTTTGTATGTCTACCCTAATCATAAAGTAGCTCAGGTTCTGGCAGAAAATGTAGGGCACGGCGAGTAGGAGTGTTACAAATATTTTGAACTTGATAATGAAATTCTTCTTTCCTGTTGTCCTGTAGTCATTGATGATTCCCCAGACCCCAAAGATCTTGAGGTAGCCGATACTGAGGCCGTCGACGACATCGGAGTCCCTGATTGCTCCTTGGGTCCTCATGGCTCCACTGAACTGATGCACCACCAAGGCCGATAATCAAATATAAAGCGGCAATATCAACTGGCTGCCATATTAATGTTCCAATTACCAGGCAGATGGAACAGGCAATAATTGATGAGTGTTGGGCTTGCTCTTATTAAGTAACAATGAATAAATGACTCTGATCAAACCAAGCAGATTCATATTCGATTAACGACAATCAAAACCTTGACCTAGAATAACAAATTTTATCTATACCAAGCTATATACTTAAATATACATATATATATATATTTATTAGAAATTGTTATGTTAAATGACGACAGTGAATATAAACATCTTAAACAGAGCCATAGCTAGGGGAGAGGAGGTAAAGGGGGTAATTTTAGAAATTAATTTTAAGAAATAAGTTGATTGAATTCAGAAAACCTTAAAACGTGTATTTCTCTTGAAAAATCGTATTCAAAATTTTTCATGATCGCAATACTTCTTCTTCTGTCTATGTATATTTCATTTATAAGCGTTAGTGAAAGTAAAAATGACAAGATTTTTCCCAAATTGCTGGTCACTTTTACGCAAGGTCTAGTGAAGCAATGTATGTCACAGGCGGATCTACGGAGGTAGGAGCTTTCTGGGCTTAAGTCTCTCCCCCCCCCCCTCGAAAATGTAGCAAAATATAGCCATATTTTACACACAAAATATTAAAAACTATCTCTTAAAGTATTAAAAACTATCTCTTGTTCATATAATTACATTTAATATGACTTCAACTTAAACACCATTTCATATAGGTAGTTAATTTCTTTCTTTTTTTTTCAAATTAATTACCGTTTTATATATATATATATATATATTTTTTTTCACATATATATATATATATATATATATATATATATATATATATATATATATATATATATTTGGAAAAAATAGCTTTCGGGCTGAAGCCTTCTCCCCAAAATTAAATCTTGGATCCGTTAGTGATGTATGTGTAATATATCAACAACCTAGAGTAAATTACTCTAGTAATTAAAAACCTTTGAAAATAAAAACTACAAAAATGAAGTTGATTTCGCGAAGGCCAGTCCAATATGTTCCTTTCATGAACTTAGTATATAAATATAAATGAATTTTATTAAACCGATTAAGCAACACATTTCGATTTGATCAACATTGTATGTTTTTACATTATGAGAAATCAAAGTTTACTTTATCACTAATCTCTAGCGAAAAACGAATCAAAGTAGTGAGACACATAAAAAACATTGTTTATCTTACGTAAATTTACTTTCCATCACATTATGGATTGCAATGAATAGCGGATGAGAAACAATAATCTTTTACTAGTTTGCCCGTGAGAATAATTCGCAGAAATTTTTTTTTCATTGAAGAAATAGCAAAACAATATGGAAATAAGTAAATCCTATGTATTATGTAAGGTCATTTAACATAATAGACCAAAATATTTGTACAAATTGCTTTGCAAGGACCTATTTTAAAACGCTGACTGAAATGATAAGAAAAGTAATCAAGACAAAATAATGCCCCAATCGTGAGATTTTCTAAATTATTAAAAAATAATAAAATGTAAGAACAAACAAATGCCTTTAAAAAATAATAAAGTTAATAGATCAGCCAGGAAAAAAAGTGTACTAAAAATTGCATACTTTTTGAGTTATTCGCAAATAAAGTTTCTTTTCCTTCATAACTTTTTTTCCAGAAATTTCGGGAGGATAGAACTATTTTTCGCATGTGAAGGAGAAAAGAATATCTTCAAAATGAGTGGTCAATCATTAGATTTGATGAAGAGTTGAAGAAGTTCTAGCATACCGACAAAAAAAACACCTTTTAGAAATAATATATAAGATACTACTATTGAATAAAGTTGATAGGCAAATTTAGGATTTTATAACCTGTAAAACCCGCAAAACCAAATTTAATGTAACCATCTTTTAATATACGCGGTAAGGCGCCTCCCTGTCGGTTCGGCGTTCATTACGCTTTCAGTAATTCGATCGTTTACTAGCTTTTTGTCTTAATTGTCCAGCACAATATCTGATGTATGTATGGAACATCGTTTCTATAACGAGATCTCCAAAGAGATTGCAAACACGAATGGATGGGTGCCAACCTTCGCAGAGAGTAATACCGCGGAGCACATTTTTAAGCATTTCACATTTAGTTATCAATCGTATCATTTTTCTTAAGATGAAACTAATACTATGTACGATCAGTTGTGACATCACCTATCAAACGCTTTACTTTTTATCTTTAAATTATTCTGTTTGTATTTATTTTATATAATTTTTATTGTTATTTTGCTTTTGTTTATTTATGTTATCTGTATATATGGTGTGAAGGTGTTCTTACTCAATATAATTATTGTCCGTGTGACCAAAGGTTATATTACTGAATTAATAAATTAATTAAAACACAATACAAATGATAGGTGATAAATAGTCAGAACGCATTAATTTTAAGGTTTTTATTGGTGACTGCGTCCTGACCATTTTTCACATACGATATGTAGAACAGTCGACTAATATCCTTCAATAATTCTTTTATAAAATGAGTGAAACTTATCTAGTAAAATCTAAATTTTATACTTTATATCGAAGCCATCAGTAAATGTTATTGAAATTATAAACGTCATCTAAAAAAAAAATCTGGTACGGTGCGTGCATCACACAACTTTCACTAATCAACCTTAGAGTAGATAAAGTATTTTCATATATGGAAAAGACAGAGTGGAAAGGACGGTATAACTCATCTTCAGGCCATTTTGCGGGAATTGGTTATTTGGACTCAAGTGACCTCAAAACAATTATTTCCGTTGAAATTTCAGATTCGAAAATTTTCACGATCGCAATACTTTCCCTTATTATATATTACATATATAGGTAAGTGAAAGTAAAAATTAGAGAACTTAAATGTTTTACATTACTTATATATTAATTATTTGCTTGTCAAAGTTCATCAGAAGTTGATTTTGCCACAATTTTCAAACCAGTTCTCATATCCCTTTCTTAAAATGCCATAGGACAGTGTAAGGACAAGCTTGACAAAGATATATATGTATATTTGTAATAGTTGGAGAAAAAAACACTACTTATAAAAAACATATCCTAATAGCTAAATAAATTATAATAAAATAATTCCTTTTTCAAAATTATAATGATACGTTATGAAACAATTTCTGAAATTCTAGCTATTTATTTTATTATTTGGCCTAAATATATTCAATTTTTTTCAGCTACATTTATGACAGATATTTTTAAAGCTTTGAAGTTTATTATTTTTTAAACACCGACGCATGGTTTAAACACTAATCATTTTTAGCAAAATAGTTCTCCACTAATTTAGGCACTAATCCTTGGATTTGTTTTACTTCTCTTACAATACATCCGGGTACGAATGTAATGTTCCTAGGCTGTCCTGTTCATAAATTACAAATAATTGTCCACTCGAATTCTAACTCCTTATTATTTAATAATGCCTTTTACGGTAGAATGAGGGTCTGTTCATTATTTTTCTGGTCTTCTGAAGATATAATAGAACGAGCTAGTTTTTTTCTACAAGAATGAAGATAAGGCTGAGAAACCAGAGGAAGAAATCATGATAATAGGAAGAATAGGCAGTGTACGGTATATAACGTCTTCACTGAAACTGTGGTATTTCGCAGTTGTAAACAAATTTTTTTCGTAATACCCAAGAATAGCATTCATTATAAGTCTGAAAGCTAGCATAAAATATCAATTCATGTACTGAATTTATTCAAAAATCAGTCTAACCGATAAGACAAAAGACCGAAAAAGTTCTGAAGACTCGAAGTTGAAGTAAAGAATGTAAAAATAATATAGAGTGGAAGTTCAGTCACTTAGGGTCACTAGCGGATCCAGAATTTAATTTTGGGGGGGGCTTCAGCCCGAAAGCTGTTTTTTTCATAAAAATAATGATAATTACTTTGGAAAAAAAGAAAGAAACTAACTACCTATATGAAATGGTGTTTAAGTGATTCCTAAAGCCCTTTTAAATGTAATTACACAAACAATAATACTTTAAGAGATACTTTTTTAATATTTTTTACGGTAAAACATGGCTATATTTTACCATTTTGGGGGGGGGGCTTCAGCCCGAAAGCCCCCCCCCGTAGATCCGCCCGTGCTTAGGGTGGGGCAACCGGAGCAATCGGCACAGCGCGCCCGACGGGGGTTCCGATTATCAGGGACGCTCCCCACCCCACACAAAAATACAAAACGTATTAAAATAATTAATTTTAGCCTATTAATAAATCAACTGTATTAGTACAATATTAAATGAAAAAAAAATCAAACACTGCGTAGTTTAAAACAGCTTAAGAAATAAATTTCATTTTTTAGGGGAGAGGGAGATTATATCAGTGCCTGGGGGTACTGAATGTCTAAAGCCGGTACTGCTTGAATGTATGATCCACATATTCCTTATTCCTACCGACATCGTAGTGAGCCATTTCCATAGGACTCATTAAAAAAATACTAAATCTTTACCAGAAGAAGTCACAACTATGTTAGAGTAGTCCGAAACTAAAAGCGAAAGTGAAGATGAAAACCCAGCTAATTATGTACACTCTACTACACTAGTGGATCCAGAATTTAATTTTGGAGGGAGGCTTCAGCCCGAAAGATTTTTTTTTTCATAAAAATTACGATAATTACTTTGGAAAAAAAGAAAGAAACTAACTACCTATATAAAATGGTGTTTAAGTGATTCCTAAAGTCCTTTTATATGTAATTACACAAACAATAATACTTTTAAATTTTTTCCATAAAACATGGTTATATTTTAACATTTTGGGAGGGCTTCAGCCCTAAAACCTCTGCCATAGATCTGCCCCTGCTCTACTACAGATGTGACCCTCCCCTCTCCCCAAGGTCTATGGCGCAAGAACCTACCCTCATCTCCAAGATATTTTATTGCACACCGTTTCTTAAAAAATAGAGCAAGAGAATGTAGAATAAGAAAAATCCTAGATCATATACAATAACACTTGCTGCGATATGTTCCATGTTTTCCTCTTGTCTCTTAGTCTGAAACTTTTCATTCCGAAAATCCATAACCCCTTTGAAGTGTGCTCTTCTCAAAAATTCAAAAACACCTCAAACTATGCTCCCCCAAAAATTTTGATGGCACTCCTTGCACCATGCACCTTGCATTTCATGATTCTATGCAACTCATATTTTAAATTTACAAGAAACTTAACTGGGAAGAGAGAAAAATATTGGTAAAGGAATAAGCAGAAACTTCACACTGCCAGGTGGTAAAGATGAACAAACTATGATGATAATGATTTTTTTAAAAGTTTTTTTAATGCCTTTGAAATATAATAGATTTAAACGCTTCATAAATCATAAAATTGTTAAGGAAATTATCATCACATCATAATTTGGCTCTCTTGGATTGATAACAGTGAACACTGTACACCACAGTAATAAACAAATCCAAATAAATTTTATTTCAGTAGAATTTGTAGTAAATGCCCTATTTAGGGGTTTCAAATACAGTAATAAACTTAGTAGGACATATAAAGCATTATGTAGCAGAAAATAAAACCTATGAATATTTTTTTTTCTTAAATAACACATTATGGACAGAATACAAACTTAAACTTTTCAACACATGCAGATGATTATACACAATTAATTAATTTAATATTATGATTCTGATATTACGTTCTCCAATAATCTATTTTAAAAACTCTGTCACTATTCACAATGTTAAAATAAAAAATCTGGTGCCCGCAACACACAACTTTCACTTGCTGCTCAACTTTGAATAGAAATTATTTTCTGGCCATGTTGGGCTGTTATAAATTTTTTGAATTGCATTTTTAACTGAGCTAAAGCTAAAGTCTTACAGCTAACCACTCATAAACACCATTAAAATAACAAAAGTTCTAATTATTATGTCACCGGTTGATTATGGGTTGTACGACTATTAGTTATTAAACAGTTATTTTCCATCGCAAAGTTTGCTAAAATGGAATTAAGAGATTTACATTGCTTGTCATAGAAAGATCAAAAGTTGTCACACTAATTGGAAGTGAATACTTTTGGAACATCACAAAGGGGAAATTCATCAAATTATTCACTAATTTAATTTCTAAAAGATTACATGATGATTTTTCAGAATAAACGGACGATAGATACCTAATTATTTAAATATATCAGTTCTAGATTTATTAAACTACAGTAAATGTATTTCAAGTTACAAACATATGATTTATATATCCATGAAATGATTTGATATTTCACTTCTTCTTTCACAAAAATACAATGAAGTAGTTTTTTTAACTATCCTATTCCTTTGATGATATAAAGGTGGATTTTAAATATTTTTTCAAACTTAAAAATACTTTAAAAGTTTAAATTTAGTTAGTAAATTTGATTTCATTTCCTTGAAAACATGTGATTAACGTTAAATAATATCTTTTTTTTTTCGGATGGGGCTGCAGACCTTGTAGATCTTTGACTGCGAGATCTGGTCTTCTAGACCACTTCCCGATTTCTGATTTAAGTACATGGAGGTAGGATCATCAGTCCTCGGTCAGTGCAACTTGCCTCCAGAAGCAAAAATTCTCTGCTTTCCAACGATATATTATAGGTATACCTTCTGACTAGTATTTCCGAGATTAATTTTTGATCTGGATAAGAATTTTTATTTTTTTCTTCTTTATTCAATTATCCAATTCTTTCAAAAGTTATATTTAGCTTTTTTTTTAACTCTAAGTAATGTGAGATGATTAATTATTTAAAATGAACCGTATTAAAGGTAATGAAAAGAAGAATAGTTGGGGTGATCAGTTAAGAAGGCAAAAATAAATGATAATATTTATTTTGTCATTTGCTAACGTTTCGACCTGAAGTTCAGGCCATCATCAGTGCTGACTGCTCTGATCGCCATTGCCTCTTCTACCTTAGAAAGTAAATTTTTAGGAAAAATTTACTTTCACATCTAAGGCATATACCTATCTTAAAGAGGTAATATCTATTTCGTACGACTTTTCGTTTTTGAGCTAAACTGTAAACGTACACACACACAGACACACAGACCATTTAGTGGGACTTGGTTGTTTCGACTCAGGGTACCTCAAAACATGTATTTCCGTTGAAAACTCAGATTTGGAAATTTTCACGATCGCAATACTTTCTCTTACTATCATATATATATAAGTTACATATATATGTAAGTTAAAGTAAAAACCTTTCTTGTTTTACTCTAACATATGAACATACTGAGATGTTCTAAAACAAGTAAGAAATCTATTGCTTTTTATGTTATTTTATAATATATGTTTCACATAGGCTTATTCCAAATTGAAGGAAAAAATTTACATAAGTTTGCAAACAAAGAAATATCTTAACATAATAAAAATTGAAAAGAATGGCAGTTGTGTGCCAGAAGACCCATCGCACATGCTGTTAAGATCTGTCTGTCACAACAATGACAGATGATATGAATTAGCACTGGATAAAGAGACAACATTTCTAAAAAACTTAAATACAAAGAAAATAGTTATTTGTAATAATAAATAAATAAATAAGTCTACAAACAAATTAATGCCACATAAAGATTAATAGACAACACAGTTGAACGCAAAAAGTATTGTAATAAAATAAGTATTTTCAAATTACTGACCAGTATCAACCTATAGTTTCCAAATAAATTGCTAGATAGGCCTCATATTTCATGTAAAAGTTCTATAGACCACATTTTTAAAACTCTATATTTATTACCTAAAAATAATGGGAAGAAAATTTATTCTTGATTTCTTTACTATTGATTTAGTTGTTACTGGGCCAATAATTAATGACCATTTTTTTAAATGTATTTATTAAAAAATATAACAATCTTTCTCAATTAACATCATTTATAATAGAGTTCCGAGATCACATTCACTCCATATTTATAGAATCATAAATAAATGAAGAAATAACAATAATGATCATATATTCATATTTTTAAAATTTTATGAATAACTCATAAATATAGTAAGAAAAATGTAGTCTTAGTTTGTGTGTTAAAATAGATAACGTTTTTATAAGGCTTATGAACTATAGTTTCACTTCTAATTTGGTGATCAACAAAATCATGGGCTCTAAAAATTTGTTTTAAGTCTAATTAAAGAACTTCCATTATGGTATTCATTATTCTATGCCCCTCACTGTTATAATGCTTTGTGGAAACGCAAAAATCACCTGAGTGATTTTTATTTAGCATGAAAATTTTAACAAAAAAAAAGGGCAATATTTATTACCTCAATATCTTTTAGCAATCCAATCAGTGCTAAATGAAATCTCACTATTTACTCTTCACAGTTGCACTCTCACTTCGGATTTGGAACAAAAAAGAAGGTGGCAAAGTTCAAAGAGAAACTTTTGTTGGACCACAAACTAAACAACTAATTCTAGATGCTGATTGTACACAAATGAGTGACATTGAAAATTATGCATGGGGTGCATTTGAAAAAAAAAAATGCAAAATATTTCTTGTGGAGAATAAATCAGAAAAATAACAGATTGTAGTGAAATAAAACACCCCCAGTTTAATACATTAACAGATGCAAAGTGTCGGTAAAGCCCATTTTCTCCATTCTTATTTGAATTTATTTTCTAAGAATTCAAGAGCAAAACTGGAAGATCATTGAAAAATATTTTACCAAGATACTGCATCAATCAAGAAAATGAATAGCAGAAAATGGATAAACCTTACTAAGAAAATGGTGGTATGCTCAATATAAAAAAAAAAAAGACAGATAATGGGCATTTGACCAGTTCCAGCAATGCAGCTGCTGCAGGCATAAAAGTATGTGGATACTACTAAGAGTGAAAGACAAGGATCCATAAGATATAGACCAGAAGCACAACTCTAGTTTCAAAATCTGAATTACAGTTAAAGTTTTTTTCTTCCTGTTATAGATACAAAAGTAAGATGTTTTCTCCTGAATTATTTAAAGCAATTCATGTAAAATAAATAAATAGAAGATGATCATTGCCATATGCATTTTCAGCATTATGTGCCTAACAGCATTATATGCCTAACTGTTGGCAATATATATCAAAAGGTGGGGGAAAAACAAACTTTTGACCGTCTAAACTTTTATCAACTTAAACTAGTTTTTATAGATATTAAGTGTTATAATTATTAACTTAAGAAAAGAATTAGAAGGTTAAATATTCATAAAACACAATCATCAAACAGTTAAAGATGGTTATCAAATGATCCATTTTATATATTGGATAATAAACAACTATAAATTAGAAAATAGAATAGAAAATTATTCCTCGTATATCAAGAGAGACCTTCGAAAATACAAGGGAGTCTCGACCTGTAAATAAAATACTCAGTAGCCTTATATCGATTTTCTATCAATGATTGGAGTAACAGAGGCAAAACCTTTCCAATTAGTTAGCATCCCCTTCACATGGGTTCAGTCTTCTGTTCTCATTATAGAGCAGTTGTTTGTTATTCAAGATGTCAATTGAAGAATATATTTTTGCAGTCATCTGCATCTATATAAAAAAAACAAAATACAAATTATATTAAATTACAATAAAATAAACAAATTTTGAGTTATTTTATAATTAAAAAATTTGTTTCAATTTATTTTGAGCCAAAACTTTAGATAAGCAAAATTGGCCAACTCAATGGCTAGAACAGGTACAGAAAGTAAATTTATCTAAGAACCCTTCCTACCCTAATAGAATACTTGTAGTTAGGATACTGAGAGCATAATGAGCTAAAGTTCTGTTGGATTAAATTATTTTAATGAAACCTGTGCTCTAGGAAGAGGTCCAAAATTACAAGTTAAAAAGTTAGATCACTATGCTTGATTAAGGAATACTTAATGTTGAGATAGATGATCTGCTCAACCTAAAGAAGACCGCCTGACATCTAAAATCCTCCAGAGTGTCGGAGCTGTCCAGAGTGATGTTCATGTTGATATCCTATATTACATAATGGCAAAATGCAGTACAGGATGATCATCAAGATGGAGAATAAATTGGGAATTTAGCTGTGATAGAGAAAAAAGTTTTTGAAGAAGTATTTAAAAGATTCAACATAATGACTTAATATATAAAGGAAATTGGTATGACGTGCTAAAAATAAGTTATTAATAATCCAATCTCTATAAATCTATATAAAGGATCGATTTGATACTTAGAACCCAGAAACACTCAATGATTTAATACATGTAATACCATTAAGCACTCTTGCTAGAGCAAGAGAACACGAGTTGTTATTCAAGAATAATTTGATGTATAATACTTACCATATTCTACCAA